AAATCTGGAATGCTTTTTTCTATGTTGGTTGATTTGCGTGTTTTGTTGTTCTTTCTGTTCTTTATTTTTGTTCTGTTCTGGTTTTGTTTCATTCTTTTTGACAGTTTTCCTACTTCATACGCTTTTATTAAGCCTTGAAGAAGTCCATCTGGCTAGCTGGCCTGCCATCACCTTTTTAGGATCTTTCTGATTATCCTTTGGGAGATTTACACAGATGTTATAAAACACCAAGGTTTCCCATTTGAACCCATTGTGTAGTCAGTGCAATCCACCTGCTCCACATAGCATCAATAGCATGATGTGTAGAGGGAACTTTTCCTTTAAACAACTTAGCACTGTTAGTCGAAGTGCTAAAACAAGCTGCACTTCAGTACCAATTCAAAGTTTCTGAAGCAGCCCAAATCCCTTCGTATGATGCTAATACCTCTTTCTTCAGTTGGAATATAGCATTCTTTGGATCCCCTGTATCCTCAGTTCCAAAATCCTAGAGATCTACTTTGGATCTCACCTGATGTTCTTTGCCAGAGACTCTAGTGGTGCCCTTTTCCCCAGCTGCAGTGGAAAGCATGTTTTTTACATCTTGTCTTGTTCGAACTGGTCCCAGAGCAACAGCACAGATTACCTCCTGTTTAATTTGTTCAAAGGCTTGCTGTTGCTCAGGGCTTCACAAGAAATCATTCTTTTGCATTACCTAATGGAAAGATCTTACAACAAGAGTATAATCTGGGATATGCGTTCTCCAGAAACCCATAGCACCAAGGAAACATTGGGTTTCCTTTGTTCTCTTTGATGGAGGTACAGCAGTGGATTTCTGACTGTGCTACTTGCTGCACACCTGGAATTGGAAATCACGTGGGAAGTACTGGAGACTTCTGGGAATTGCAGTCTGTCTCTTCTTAGTATATCTTCTTCTCAGCCATAACCAATGTAGGTATAGTGGAGACTTCCAGGAGCCGGGATCCAGGAAGTGCAGCTCCCTGGCACTGTGCTCCAGTACTAACAGCTGGCTGCATGATGTCGTGGTATGGAATACCAGTCGAACCAGGGCAAAAGTGAACTAAAACTATGTTCTCATGTGCTTGTTAAAAATCAAGTTGCAATATAATAATCTTGCTTGGTATTTTATTACAATAACAACAACAACAAAAATCCACTACGAATTAATCTCCATATCTGCATGCATCAAATAATTACAAAATGCTTATTTTGAACAAAAATTGTTCTTCCTGCTTTGGAGGACTATATTTATCAGCAGTACACTTCACAGACTCTGCACAGAACAATTTCACGATCACATTAGTAATAATTTTATAAGCCGCACATAGTAACGGAATGATTTCAGAGTTACTCTGGGTAGATGAAAAAAAAAATCCTTCAGGATCAACAGATCTTCCATGGTTTCCATACAAATTTTCACAATTCAGTACAACAGTGATGGGATTCTGGTGTCTGAGTCAGAAAGGCTGAAACTCACTACTACTTAGTGTACCACTGCAGCTGAATAACAATGAAGTATCACAAGAAAACAACCCTGTACTGAAAACAACAAAATATCAAATAAAACTCCATCTCAAAAAGCGAAAACTAAGTACTGCAAGATCATTTTGAAATTTCACTGCAGTTTGTAACAGAACAGTTACATACAACAGAATTCATACTCAGTAATATTCAGTAATTGAAAGATAAATAAGTATCTGCAGCACTGTTGAAAGAACAATTTAGCTTTGCACACTCTTGAAATAATAAGCTTCTTTTTTTTTTTCCATGGTGACAACTCTCAAATCTGTTTTTGGTTTGTTCTTTACAACGGCTTTTTAAAAACAATTTAGGAAGGTTTTTCTACTTGCAAAAGCTGAGTGGTTGATCCTGTGTAGTACTAGAGCTAGTCAGCAGCTTCTAAAGAAGCATCAGGCTCTTAGCTGTATTGGCAATACTTCTGTGAAATGAAGTTGGTGAGAACTTTATCAGCTGATTTGCGCCATTCATTTCCACAGCAGTATCATAAATCCCTCCATAATGTTATTGGAGCTGCTTTAATATATACCCTAAACTCTTTCCGCCAGGAGGCTGTGCACTAATTTCAACTACCGCGTTTTAAATGTATCAAACCTTTCTCATCTGCACGTTACCAGCACTGAAGCTGGTAACATCTCACTGTTTCACAGTAGCTCCAAAATAAAATGCTAGAGCAGTTTTCTTATGTCAGTTATTGAGTGAAGTTCCAAATAACAGTGCAGTAAGAACATCATCTCTTATATCAAAGCTGTGAAATGAGGATACACACATGGATTTCAATATTGCTCTATTTCAGACAATTCTTTCAAGCTAAAATGTTACAGAGGAACCTAAATAATAATATTACTTCAGTCTGTAGTTGACATCTAATCACATCTAGCAAAAAAGTTTGCTATACTATTACTAATAAACAAAAACACGAATTTTTAAATGCAGTCTCACATATCTGATGTACAGTGTAGATACAAGAAAAATGGCTGGTTGCTGTTATATACAGAAGAGCAAACATAGTGTTAGATCTAAAGTCACACCAGCAAGATCTCTATCAAAGTTTCATAGTTCAGCTGTATGGGTAAGTGTAAAATTGGAATGTATTTTAGAATAACATCCTTAAATTCACAATAAATTATGAATTAAAACTGCACCTGAACTTACATCTGCAATTCATCTTTATGCACACAATTTTGTATGCATAGTTATTTATTTTTGTACAGCCTGATATTATTCACTTTTTTGCTACTGCAAGTGAAGGTGCAAACGAAATTGCATACATGAATTCTAGACTTGTGTTGAAATCTTACTCAGAATATGGCCTTGAAAAAGAAGTACAGGCTGAGAAAGCAGAGATACTTTTGGAGCAAGAATGCAGATGAAGGATATAATTTAATTCTGGTATTGTCAACCTGTAAGAGTTCCAGTTCAACCTGATCTACTCTGAAAGTGGTCACGACAAATATGTAACTTTGAGTTACACAACTTCTTGGCTGACTTGCCTCTCTTGTACCCCTCCACTGATGCTACTGAGGTTTCTTTTAGCCCATGCTGGATAGATTTTGAGTAGAACAATTTTTTTTTCACAGCTTCTTAAATATTGTGCACAAAAGCTGTGTGAGTTCATAGCAAACAGTAACACACAGGCATTTTCTTGAGTCTGTGTTCTCATAATAGCACAAACACGAACAGGTCTGGAGCAATGAGAAGAGTATGCAGGTAGCTAAGATCGCAACTGGGAAGCGATGGTGGCTTCTCACAGGGAACTGGGATAAGCCATGGAGATCAGCACCCTCTGCTGGTGGGATCAACTGCAGACCGAGCCCAGAAGGTGAGCACAGCATAGAAGCTCATTGCCTGTAATATCAGCTTCTGTTTCTGGATCCAGATAATAAAAAACAGTGCAAAAGGTGATAATGTAGAGGAAACATTACAATGAACTTGGAGCATTGAGAAAAAGTAGCAATACTTTCATTGTGTTTTCTCTTGGATACTGTCTGAAAAGAAAAATGAAAAAAAAACCTGCCTTCTTTACTGTGTTTTCTTCTTTTCCTTAGACATTATCAAAGCTATAAAACCCTACCAGCAGCCTCAGAGACAACTACTGAAGTAGGCCAAAATTAACTAGTAAAATCTTGCCGAATAGCGTTCAATATATATTAAGTTCAGACAAGATTTATTTCAAGTGGTCCATCCCTAATCTAGCTTGCTGAAGAAAGAAGAATTCTGAAAGCTTCCTACTTTAATATGTTTATTCCCTGCTGTGAATTGATTGAAAAGCCTTCCTATTTCATGCTGTTCAAGGTAGAAGAAAAAAATAAAGATTTCATACTCTTTGCCATCAGATTTTTTTTTTTTTTTTAAGCTATGACACCTACAATTAGATCTGCATTTCTGAGGGAGGTTGGAGTCAATGGAGGACAGTTACTGTCGTAAGTAGTGGTTATGGCTGTTCTCAGAGATGTGGTGAGAGTCCTTCCATTACACACAGCAGCATGGAGGAGGGCAATTCTCTCAGTTTCACTGTCTGTCTCTTTGAAGAGCAGCCTTGCTGTTTTGGAGATCACAATACAAGCTGAAGTACTTGCATATTCCACTGAAGTCCATTCACCTCTTAAAGTTTTGTTTAGTGTTTCATTCAACTGCATCCAGCACTGTACTGTTTTGACTTCCCAAGAAACTGTGTTTTCTTGCATGATACTGACAGGTATGTATAGATATGTGGTAAATCCTGCTATTTGGTGAGCAGAAATGCCTTTGTATGTCATACAGGTTGGTGCAAAGAGATCATCTGAAGGATTTGTATGACTGCATACTCAGAACATGGTGTGTCTCAGGCCTGAAAATTAGAGAGACGAAACAAGCTGAGAAAAAAATATCTGCCATCTTCATTACATCTGCAAACAAATTAAAAAGTCACCCAGTGAATTATCTACATTGTAAGATCTTATGTATATGGACTTACGAACAGCTAAGCACTGTTGCATAAAAAAAGTATCTTGAAAACAGCAACGTGCATTATCGTATGAAGAGAGCTGGGTTAGAGAGATGTGCATCTAGCTGGGAGATAGGCATGCCTTTGCAGGAGTGGAGTGCTGCTGTGAGGGAAGTCTGTGTCTTTTCCTTGTGCCATCTGCATGGTGCAACCAGGTTAGTTAACTCCGAGCTGGAGCCAAAAGGTGGCACACAAGAAAATATCCCACTGCACCACTGCCCTCTGCTTGTCAGGGAGTAAGGCTTAGCCTATGTATTTCTCCTCACTGTTCAGTATGCACCATGTTCTCCTGGTCACGGCACGCCTAGCACAAGGAACTTTGAGACCATCAGTTTCCAGATCCGGTCAGATAAAGTAATGACATTGTCCTGTTTGGTGGCATGCCAGTCATCTGCACCAGCCTTTCCCTGCCCCTCACTGCTCTGCCCCACCTGAAAGCTATCCCAGTACCACCCAGTGCACATCATCATGCTCTTTTATAAGGAATACACACCAAATACTAAAAGGCATTAACTGTTACCTCAGATGACAAACATGTGTCACCAATGGATGTTTTTGCAGAGGACAGATAGGTATTGGTGACAGTAATATCTTCTAGTTCACTGCTGAAGTGATCAGACTCTTTGATGACGTTGTAATTTAGAACCACACTGTAATTGGCAGGTTTCTTGTCCCGTTTCAGATGGCAGTTGCAGAGTTTCCTGAAAGCTGCTCTGAATTTCTGAGACATGAGATTATAAATTACAGGATTGATGGCACTATTTAAATAAATACAGATTCTGCAAAACAGCAGGAACCAGTTTTCTTGGAAGGGACTGGAGAGAAAGGAATTGACAACCACCAGTGTTCGATAAGGCATCCACAGAAATGCAAAGAGGACTACCACCACAGCCAACATCTTGGTAACCTGGGGGAACACAGACAGACACGAGGTGAGCAGATTAATACAGCTTGGAAGGAACAGATATCTTCCCAAATCTCTAGGGCCAAAGCAAAACTACTGACAGGTTTTTCAGCTGTAAATTTCAGAACTGTGTTTGATTCAGAAAGTTCTACTGTAGTAAGAAAAACAAATAGAAACAGCACTTGGTTTCAAATTCCTCCCAGTTTTTGTTAAATAACTGTAGATTTTGCAGCTCCTCAAGCTGGAAGATCTCCTTTGGACTACACAATCTGTAAACTAATTCAAGTTGAAGCCTATTTTCATGATCTGCTTTAAGAAGTACCTTGTGGGGTTTCAAAAGCCAAAAATATTTTTTAAAGGAACTAGATTCATTCTTAACCCTAAAATCCTAATATTTAATTAGATCTTCATTATTTGTTTTTTATTCTGAAATGTCAGTTGTCATCTACAAGCAGAGGAATATAAGGGATTATTTTAAGACTTGATTATTAAAAGAGCTTTCATCTATTGTGTAAAGCAAAAAAACAGCCCTTGAGAATACCCAGGATATCTGAAATGAACAAGAAATAATTGAAAAGTTATAAAAAAAAAAAAACAACCTGTAAGAGGGCTGTTCTCTTAAATTATAATTTACGTTCATTGTAAAAATATACTATATATACATACAGTAATTGAAGTCCTAATATATTATAACATATATTGTATATTTTAAACTCTAGTCTCTACACTAAAGAAAGCTTGAAAAGTATTAAAACAAGGTAGAAAATACAGTGAAATGTGACTACATGGGAAATACCAGAAGATAATACAGTGAGGTGCTGTCATACACATCAGGGGATGACTTCCTTAACTGTGTGTGCATGAACTGAAAAGCAGCGGACAGATTCTGGTGAGCTATACCTGCTACTTTTGTGTTTTGTGTTTTCCTTTACTATTTGCCTTTCTTCTTGACATAAAGCAGTTGCTGCCTATTGACAGAATATTTTAAAGAATGACTTTTTACCTTTGCTTCAGTCATGTTATACTTTATTCCTTCTAATCTGGGTTCTTGAGGATATACATAATGAAGCAGCTACTGTTGCCACAGAAAACATTATCTGGCTGTATGGGTTATAATTCACTGCTTGCAGATCTGATAGATGTAGATTAATAAGAGATGAGTTTCAGCTGATGCCTCTAAGACAGATAATTCCACTAAAATTACTCACACAGCGGTGCTTTGAAGTTAGAGCGTATCGTTTGTTTTTTGATCAGATGTATGATCTCTTGAAATGCACTAATACAAAGGCTATAGTTTGATACTATAATTCTTGGCCCTTCTCCCCCACTTTTTATTTCTTTACAGTTCTGTTCAGTAGGAGCCAAAAACCAGACTGAGGAATATTATCTCCCTATTTTCTCACTTGACTGATACATCTCCTTGCAACTTCTAGACCACCTTTCTTGACTGCTGTGCACAAATCATCACTGTAACAGAGCAAACCAAAATAAGAATATCTCGAGTAGCTAAAAAGTTTTTTTTTTTTTTTATCTCTGAGTCAAATCTGAAAGAAGCCCTGCAGACTGCAAGGAGCACTGTGATTCAGTGCTGGCCTGCTCTGGCTCACAAAGACTGGGGATTCCTCATCTGTCCTTCCTTTCATCCCTCCTGTTGGACCCCAGTATGCAGTTCTAAACTGCGGAAGTCCATTCAACTGAGAACAATCATTTATATGGAAAATAATCCACATTTAAAGGAAAATATTATGCCTTTGTAGGGCTTAAATTAACAATGGAACTAACTAACAGATGTATGGCAATTGCTCAGGCATTCAGAGGGAGAGTAAGTAATAGTCCACATCGGCATTGGAGTACTTTGCTACCAGAAGCTCAGGAGGGGAATTCGTAATCATAGCTCCTGATCAGTGACAATTTAAGTTTCTTCTGATTATGTCTTTAAGGAACAGAAAATCACTTTCAATGATGTAGCTGTCACTGTGAATCCTAGGTTGTATTAGAAGTAAATTCATCATCCTTACTGTTAGAAAATGGAAATACATTAATTCATGATGTTTTAAGTCACATAATTGATATGGCACAGCAATGAAAAAATGGCTATTATACCTCAAGCCAAGTTCTATATGCCACAAAGACATACACATATGTACTGCACAAACTGTTGGCTAAATTTATGTGAACTCGTGCCTATAATGTGCATTTTTTATTGTATCTAACATCACTAGCTTATACTGTTGTCATGTTCAGCTTATCGAGGCTGTGATTTTATAAAATATTAGGACAGGCTCTTAGCACCAGATAAAATATATCATGGAGACAGCAGAAAGTACTCTGAGCTGAGATCAATTCAGTCTGCAGATTTGAATGAATCACAGAATGTTCCAAGTTGGAAGAGACACAGAAGGATCATCAAATTCAACTCCTGGCCCAAAACAGGACCACCCACAATTCAAACCCTACATCTGAAAGTGCTGTCCAAACACTTCTTGAAATCCCACTGTCCTGGGGAGCTAGTTCCCATGCTAGACCACCCTAACCCATTCTCTGCCATGGATTCTAGAGCAAATGCAAGAAGCAGGAACATCTTATTCCTTCAGCTGATGCAAGCCAACAAGAATTTGCCACAATTCTAAAGTGGCTGCAGCATGTCCTTCTTGGAGGCAGAGAGTTTTCTTGTCCATTCACTTCAGACCATAACTGCTGTGCAGATGATAGCAGCTCCTCTGCTTTGGACTGATTAGTTTGTCCCCATTGTGACAGGAGGTCTTGTCACCCCTCTGCACTCCCAGGGCTTCTGAGCTAAAGCTGCTGCTATTGTGGGCTTTACTTTTCCCCCCATTTTTGTCATTACAGATGAGCCCAGTATCTACACATGACTTAAGTCAAAGCTGCTTTCTTCTCCACATCAAAAATCTCCACCGGCATGGATGGGTATATGCAGGAATGGGGGAAAGTTTGGCCCATTGTACGTAGCTGTCACAACCATTTTGAAATCACTTCATATGAAATTTAAGTGAACATTATTATTGTCAACACTGTGCACAGCACAGGGGTTGGAACTACATGATCTATAAGGTCCCTTCCAACCCAAGCCAGTCAATGATTCTATGGTTCTGTGATTATTTTTGGAGGGGCTAATTATTTTGTATCAGTGAAGTGGGACATAAACATCAAGGGGACAACCTTTTAAAGGACCTTCATTTTAGTACCTATTCTATCTAACCATGCATGAAAGTTCTCTGAAAACAGAAGCATGACCATAGGAACACTCTAGAGGGTACTGGTATGTCCACTAATTACTCAGATGGAGGCAAGCACACTGATTGCTCTTTTCTTGTGGGTATGCACAGCCTCTTCTATGTTCAGAGTACAAATTATTCTTAGTTAAATAAATTGAAAACATGACTAGAAGTGTTTGAGAAAATCCATTGTAATTCAAATTTCAAGTGTACTTTGAATGTAAAGTGCTTGAGACTGAACATGCTTCTGGCTGCATGCAATCCCTCTTCATGTCCTATGTTTTTGTTTCTGATGCTGTGAAAAACATTTTAAATGTGGGTGGGGTTTTTTTTGTTTGTTTGTTTGTTTTTGTTTTCTGAGCAGATTCTCAGTATTTTAATTCTGAATTGGTTTCCTACCTTTCCTTTTTTGCTCCAAACCCTCATAATTCTAAGGAAGTGATTTTACAAGACATTTTCATTACCACAGTATTAGTAGTTGCTTGTTTCTCCTTTGATCGTTAGTCTCTCTTTCACTTACAAGTAAAAGTCAATGTCATACTTGCTCAGTTACTGTGCCATAGACTCACTGGTGTTTTACAAGCATGTAATAGTATCTCCTTTTGCTGTGCTTGGTTGTGTTTGATATCATTTTTTTCATGCTTGCTGGTGTTCATTGCAAAGCAGAGAGTGTACATGCTATCGCCCAAAATATTGAAAGTTGTACAATGAGGAAGAGGATTAAATAAATAAATTGATATATGGTATTGATATAATACTGCAAATGGCAATAAGTGATGTGATTGAGGATTTCATATGAGCTATACAGAACAGTATTTTCCATTGCTAGTTGGAATTCATGCTTGCTCTGCTATGAGTGAATAGAGAAGTTTTTATAGAGGGCAGTTGTTCATGTACTGCATCGTCATAGAAAAGTCTCACTGGAGGGTAACCTGCTTTTTAAAACAATCCTAGAGGGCCCTTAGATAATTTGATTGGACTCAACAGCTAACTGAGAGATATGCATAACGTTCCATTCCAAGTGTAAATAAACATGTTCACTATGTAAGGCTATGTCACTTTTTCACAGTTCCCTTCATATCTAGGAATTCCTTTGGGGAAATTATGAAATCTACTTGCAAGTAAGCAATTCAACATTTATGTTATGCACAGACAAGGAAGACACTAACAGTTTAGAAATGTTGACACATTCTCATCCCTGAGCTAGTAGTAAAAAAAAGAAAAAAACAACAAAAACTATGAAGTAAAGATGCATGTATAGATTTGTTGGCTGGTGTTACTTGTTAGTGAACCTCTATTTACTTAAGAAATTTGCTCTGATGTACTTTGAATAACTTATTTTCTGTTTGTAACATGAAAATGTTTCTTCCGATCTTTTTAATAAACACCTTGAGAATGGAATGCCTAAAATGGACAGTATCAATGAAACTGGAGTTGACCTTCAGCTTTTACTGCCACATTCTGACTTCATTGTCCCATACAGAAACATAAAATAAGTTGCTAAACTTTCCAATGTTCAAGTAACAACCATTACCATTTTCAGTCTGGAGAAGAGGAGGCTGAGGGGAGACCTTATTGCTCTCTTTCAATATCTGAAAGGTGCTTACAGCGAGAGCGGGGTTGGTCTCTTCTCACCAGTGACAGGTAACAGAACACAGGGAAATGGCCTCAAGCTGTGTCAGGGGAGTTTGGATATCAGGAAAACTTCTTTACATAAAGGGTTGTCAAGCACTGAAATAGGCTCTCCAGGGAGGTGGTTGAGTCACC